AATTATAATAAGAATTCTAACACATTTTCCCTCTTAGCAAAATGGTTTGGACTTAGCAAAAAAGAGTGGACTCTGTTCGAATCTCGGCAAGGTGCGCAGGCTGGCAGCGCGGGCAGGGCACCTGGCGGGCAGCGGGAGCCTGAGAGAGAGAGAGAGAGAGAGGTTTGAGTGAAGAAGAATTTATATTAAAAAAATATATTGCAGTGCCTAGCACTCATCACTCAAACCCTATATATGGCCAACCTATAACGTTGCATACTGAATATAGAATTATTGTAGAACAAAGCCTCAAATAAGATCAATATGTGAAGATCGTTAATAAGCTAAATTCATATTTGATATAGATCTCGTTAACATGTTCATTAAGAAGCTCATTTAATGTTTAATATGAAGCTCAATTAAGCCTCATTATGAAAATGATGAACAATCTAATATAAATGTTTAAAATTATTATAATATAATAATATAATAATTAAAAAAATTTAAAAATATTTAAATATTATAATAACTAGTAATTAGATTTGCTTATTTATATTTGTTAGGTTGTTTATTTTAGGTGTTCATTAGTTCATTAAGATTATCATATTCTTTGTTATGCAAGCTACTCATTTTTAAGCTTAAAAATGATCGATATATGTCTGATTTATGGGCTTGAGAAAGCTCGTTAAATATATATTTTTAACGGGCATGATAAGGCTCAATATATTGTTTGTTGGTAGACCCGATAATTTTCGTTTATTAAGCTAATGAACATCTTAAAAGTAAAGCTCATTAATGACTCGATAATGTTCATTTATTGCTTTATATGAGGTGCCCATTTAAATCTTGATAAGCACAAATTAATCGAATGTGAGTCAAATATGAGCAAAACTTAAACATATATCATTTCTAACGAATCAACCATGAACACAAATATAAATGCTTGAATCAAGATCTAACAAGCTAATAATAAATCATCTTAAATATAAAAAAACATCTGTTTTGATTGGCTAGGTTTGTTTGTAGCATTAGCTCACTATGAAAATTTGATCATTATCACCCAACTACGATTCTCCAATCCTTCGACTACAACAACATCTACTGACTTTATTGCTCGTTTCCACCAACAACATCAACACATGGAATGGCATATAAGGTTGATACACTCCATCTAAATTAGCTCTAATTTTTTATGCCAACATCTAAATTAGCTATAATTTTTTATGCCAACACCATCATGTATACTAGAGACTTTACGAGTCTCTAATTTTCTATCCTCAAAGGAAAATGAATGAACAAACTCCAAATAATTTATTAAAAAACGCTCCCACATACCACAAGGCTTTTCAAACTTTCACTGCATAATATGTACTATGTTATTTATGTCTATTTTACTATATCAACACATTTTTCCAACTATTAGGAAATTCATCATTTACAATAGATGACAAATACTAACAAAATCATTGCAATCAGGCCTAGCCATGTATTTTATTTTTTATTTTTATTTTTTCATTTTTTCATTTTTTTGTAACAACTTTGATGTCTTTGAGATCCTTATTTAATCTTGTGGGTTGGATCTTCATTTAATGATAAGACATTAAATATGTTATTCTCTAACACTATACATATATTGGCATGCAACAACTTATATATCATTTTAGTATCCAAATCACATAAAATCATATACATGAAAATATATATTTTATTTTGAATAAGAATTTTTTTATATGTATGTCAATTCTCAAAAAGAATTTGTTCACTAAAATGGCTTACATGCAACACTTTAAGAAGAAAACAACCTCCAACTCCTAAAGTTAGTTCATTAATTAATGGTAAATACTTTCATCTAGCAATTTTTTTAGAATCTTAGAAAATGTAACGACTTGCATAATATATAAGAACAACATTTCATTCTGCAAGCAAATTTATAATTAAAATAAAATTTTCTTTGGCCCTAGATTCCGCTTCCGCTCTGCTAGGGCTTTTTTCCCTAGCATCGGCAGGTGATTCCGTGGCTGGTGATCTTTGCTTTCGTGGTGACATTCCTTCAGGGAAGCTCCTATTCATCTTATTTGTTTTCACTCTTGGTTTTCTTTGGTTTGTTTTGCCCAGCGCTTGCCGGCATGCCGCCAAAGTTTAGCGACCATGGTTTTTTGGGGGCTTATGCATCTTATCGTTATTTTTTGGATGTTCTTGCGGGTAGGCAAGATGATAACATTTTTTTCGGAACTTAGAGTTTCATCTTTTCGTGTCTTTGGATCTCGGAACAAGAAATCTCTACGCTGGCTGCGCCTTTCTAGTTCTCTTTGGTCGGTTTTTTCCCTTCTAAGAGCCCTTCTTTGGACTCTATTCGTCGATTTTTCTTCAATCTCAAATTGAATGATGATTTTTCTGTTACGTTGCTTGATCCGTCTCATATCCTCATTAAGCTTAAAAATAAAATTGATTATTGTCGGGTATTTTGCCATGGATCTTACTTAGTGTATAACTGCTATATGAAACTTACTAAATGGCTGTCCTCTGTGGATATTGAGGTGGAGTCGTTAGTTGTACCCATCTGGGTGTCTTTCCCTCTGCTGCGCCCACATCTCTTCTCTCCCCGTATACTTCATGGCTTGGGTTTAATATTTGGAAAACCCCTCATAATCGATACTGCTACTGCTATTGGGTATAGGCATTCTCTTGCTCGTGTGTTAGTGGAATTAGATGTTACTAAATCCTATCCCGATTGTGTTTGGGTAGGCCCTGAATCTTCTGGGCATATGCAAAATGTTGTTATTGAGGAATTTCCTTCCTTTTTTTCTTCGTGTAAAAAATTTGGGCTTTTGTCGGGTAATAGCCGTCTTGTGGTTGATTTATCTGCGCCGTCTAAGGCTGCTAAGAAGGTTTTAAATGTTTCGAACCCTATTCTCCCTTCTTCTAATGTTGAGGTTGTTTCTGTTGATCCCATTCCTCCTTCCTTGGATTTGGATACGCAGCCTGTGCTTCATTTTGTGGATTTGGAGATCCATCCAGCTAATTTAGTGGTTGAAAATGTGGAAATTGAGGTGGATAATAATGTGGATTGTTCGGGTGGTAAGGTTGTTGCTGGTGATGGGGTTTTTTGTCCCCTGATGCCTTACCCTTTCTTCCTCATGGTTCGATTTCAGGTACTTTAGATCCCTTGGTGAATTCCCATATAACCTGTTTTAGTGCTGATAATAATGGTGGTGTTGATCGTTTGGTGTCGGTGGTGTCTGCCCCGGCTGTTTTGGGTGAATTTTCTCTTAAGCCTCTTGTGGCTGCTACTCTCCCGTCTAATAATATGGGTGCGGGGGTTGGTGTAGTGCCTGCCAACTCCAGTTCTCTTCCTGTCTTGGATGACTGTTTAATTAACAACAATTTTGTGGATGTTCCTGTTACGTTAATTGATCCGCCAAGTTTAGTGTATCCTGTGGGAGACACAAGTTTGTCTTTTGGGACGCTGGTAGTCCCGACCTTCTACTGAGCCCTCGGGGTTGTATCTCTCCTCTTGTTTTTGCTTTTGCTTTTGGGTTCTTGTAATCGCTTTTATTTATGAATTATATACAATGATGTATGGGAAAAAATAATTAAAATAAAATTTTGTTAGTTCTTCTATCAATAATTGAAGAGACACAAGTCAAGATATAAATGAGATTGTTTATATATATATGGTAACATATGATTTGAAGTTTAGGGATAAGTTTTGTGGAGGGAATCTTTAGGGAATTTTTGTGAGAAATTGCACATCGTTTGTGAGTATTCTATATGAATAGTAAAGCTCTTTCAAGAGAATAAACTTATTAAGGAAGCGACTTATGGAGTCTCATAAGCATTTGTAATGTATAAGTTTTAAGCATTGGTTGAGCCCCATTCATAAACGAGTAAGGGGAATAGTTGACTCAAGAACTTAGACAATTTCTAGGCTTGGCAAGTTGTGAGGGAATAAAATTAGTTCACAATCAGCGAGTTGTATTCGCTAGTTTAATCATATCAATTGACTTGATAAATCAAAATCAGGCAAATATAAGTGTGCACCATTTATCTATTCTCATGTCCCTTCTTATAAGTTGAGAATGAGAGGAGAATAAATATAAATAACTTAAATTTTCACGTGTGAATAATTACATCTAGAAGGTTTGGGGAAAGCTAGTAAAATTTTCTAAAATTTTGACAATGATAGATGTGTAACGGCTTAAGCATCAACAACCTAAAACAAATAAATATAAATCATAGAGTTATCTATACAAACTCTTTTATAGATGTGTGATGGCTCGTGCATCAACAACCTAATGATCATTGCATCATAATGTAAAATACACACTAACGTGCTTACTATATTTATGTTTAATAAATTGCTCATCAATTATTCATCATTTTTTCTTATATTATTGTTGGTTTACTATGACACCCTAAAACTAAGAAAAGTAGGAACTAATCTCTTAAAAAACTAATGATTATTTGTAACGTACAATGAATCTATTGGCCTAATCAACCAATATCAAAGAGAGCTTAATACCAACATTACTTCCGTCATATATATAAACATGCATGCATTATATAAAAATAAATATTATAACAATGTTTTTTTAATTAATGTTACGATATGATCAAATATGATTGAAATAATTGTAATATACTATCAAATATATTAACTCATACTTTACATAGGCAATACTTATTTCTCAACAAAAAGACTATTTACAAAATTTGTACAATATGTAAGATAGCAAAGTTACCTATAGTATCATTATCATATTAATATGATTATATAACATATTACAAATAAATGCAATAACTTTAAATAGGTGTTTAATCAATAAATGCAAGAGGGATTATTTAAAAAAAAATTATGGAATATTTAAAAAATAAAACAATGAGAGGATTTATGGGACTTGTAAAATCAAATTTGTAGTGGTATTTAATGTTTATTATATATATATTTTTTAATATTGTATGGATACTTTATTATTCCAACGATAATCCACGCAGTGTGTAGCGTCAGCAAGCAAAAATAAATGTTTAAGAGGGCTGATTTCGTACTATATTTTAAGCAAGATTTTTTTAATGGCTTATTTTATCAATTCAGAGAGAATAGAAGCAGGAGAAATAAAAGGGGGAAGCGGAAGGAAGTAGGCAGAAGCCAAGGGTTTCGAGCCTGGAGACATACTTTGCCTGCGAGGTTCTTTCTATCTTCAAGAAACTGTTATTTTTTTTTACTGTATCTACTCTTCTGATCTCCTCCAACATGTGATTCTTCGCTTTCTTAGCTTAATAGTTCGATTTTCATGGTATTTTTGGGTGTCGTCGCGCAAACACTAGAGCAGACAACCCTGCACTCATGCACCCCTACCCCTCGGTGGCAGTCCTGGAAACTGGGCGGCTGAGCAGTAGCTAAAGCTCGTGGCCACGGGACTGCTGATCGGGTTTGAATGTCATTGGAGTTTATGAGAAACGTTTTTTTTTTAGTATTTTAAAACTATTTATGTAGATCGATAGAGGCTGAGAGATATTGGTTTTTTTTTTTTTTTTTTTTTTTTTTTTTTTTTTTTTTTTTTTTTTTTTTTAGTCCTGGAAACTGGGCGGCTGAGCAGTAGCTAAAGCTCTTGGCCACGGGACTGCTGATCGGGTTTGAATGTCATTGGAGTTTATGAGAAACGTTTTTTTTTTTTTTAGTTTTTTAAAACTATTTATGTAGATCAATAGAGACTGAGAGATACTGGTTTTTTGTTTTTTGTTTATTTTGTTTTTGTTATAATTTTGTAATTTTTTTCTTGCTTCTGCGGTTTCGGTAAGGGTTTTTAGTTTTCCATTTGGGCTTATGTTATTTGGCTTTGATTCTGAACTAGAGAGTGTGCCAAAGTGTTACGTGCTCTTCTTAATTGTGCCTGCAGCACTTCTTAACGTTGAAGGACTCCTTTTTTGTTTATTTTTAGTACAGGGTACATTGATGAAAAGTGGATTTTAAAGAAGAATACGCCTTTAAGATGCTTTAGTCGTTATGACTTTCAAAGAAAACTTTAGCTAAAGAATATAGGGTTTTTGCCCTATTTATCTTATTTTAGACGAGCGTTTGGTCAAATCAATGCGGTATTAGAAGGTAAGTTGGTTTTTGAGTTTGCTTGAGTGAGTGGAGATTTATAGGTGAATGCAGGTTAGTATTTTTTTTATGTATTTCAGTATTAATGTTTTATTAGTATTAATACTGAGCAAAATATTGATCAAATGTACAAGCAATCTTTTGATCTACTCTCACTTCAAATTCTTGGTAGATTGATCATAGGAGTAAGTTGCTCATATTTACCTGCCCGTAAATTTTTGCGGTATTTGATGTGAGAAGCAGGCTATCTTTAAACTTTGTCTATCTGTAATACGGATAAATGACTTGGAAATCAGTTATTTCTTTGAGCATGAAGAGCCGTTTCTGAGAAATTGCTAGTATAATCAAATATTGGAAGCCGAGTTATGCATATAATTTAAATCTGCTTTGGATTATATTGGTCAAGTCATTATATTACTGAAATTTTCTTTGCTAGTCCATGCAGCCCATTTATGATATTTAGGAAATGGATTCCTTTCCTTATTTTATGCTACTGATCTATATGGGGGATCAACCCTTTAATTTCTCAAATGCCATGAGAAATATAACTCCATTGCTCGAGAATGAAAATCCCGGAAGGTTACATTCTAATAGGTTAATGACCCTTTCTAGAAAAAATAGAAATCAAATAAGAAAAAAATATCAAAATATATTCTAGAACTGACTTTAAAATAAAAGAACCTTTTAAGGGAAAAAGTTATAGTAGTTGCTAGTTGACACAATTTGTAACATATATTCTAGAACCTTAAGATCTTGGGGCTATAGCATGCATTCAACTACATGCACTATAAAGCTTTAATTAGTGCTCATAATAACAATGATGTAGAAGTAATTGTGTGGTATTTTACTATTTTTGACAAATTGCACGATGCAAGAATTTGTCTTTATTTAAGTGCAAGCTACTTTGACGTATTGTAAGATGTATTATTAGGTACCTCTTTTCAGTCCTAACATAGATGCTTTGAATTTTTTACCTTTTGAGACATATATTGACTTTATTTTGCATGCTTATTAGCTATCTTGTTTTTTAAAAAAACTCCGGCATTTTACAACTTTTGACGACGGCTTCCAAGATTTATTTTCTGCTTACCAATGCTTATATCATTAAGTTGTAATTGAACAGACCAATGTTTTAAAACTTGGTTTCATTCCCATCGTAAATTTTTTGGTTTTAGTAGTTTCATTAGTTTACCTGATTTTGGGATTCAATTTGGATTGTGGTTTCAATTATTTTTTTATTATAAATACTACAAAAAATATTTATGTATGAAACAAAGTATTATCTCATTGGGATTTAAGCTAGTATTAAGCATGAAAATTAATGAGGCTTAATGATATAATTCTAAAACTTATGCAATTACTCCTCCCATACAAGTAATCTATGGTTTGATTTTTTTGAAAGTGGCAATACTTGATCGGGATTCATCCTTATCAAGAATATATCATTATCTACCATGATCGAATTTTCAAATGGGTCAGGAATTAGAACCCGAATTTGACCCGTCTGTTAAACGAGTTAGCCCGAACCCAAATTTTCAGGTTTGGGTTGTGGTTGGGGTTTCATGTCGTGTCATTAATTGACACCCCTAGGGTTCATATCAAATCATTTTTCTTGAGTGAACACATTCTACCACTATTATTAATTAAGGTTGCTTTAGAACATGCAAGTGTCAGATATAGGGTATACGTGAACCATAATTACCTTTTCCAAATCCTATGCATTAGTGGGAGCTCTATACATTGAATATGACCTCATTAATTGGTTAGATTTTAAATTGCATTGAATTCTTAATTTCATATGTTATACTCTTGGAAATCTACTATTAGATGCGACGCTCCTAATCACAATCAAATAGGGGCTTATGAGATGAGAACTTGAATAGTATAAATGGTTTACTTTGGCCTATTTTTTGTTTGTCCAAATTGCAAGGTATGTTAAGAAGATTTATCATCAGAATTAGTTGGAAATTTGTAAGTTGACAAGCTAAGTAACTAGTACCAAATGCACAACATTTGATCTTGACACTCCAAAGTTTTTTTTCTTTAATTTTGAAAGCAAAGTTTCCTTTAATTTATTAAGGCATCTCAAATTTTTTTGACTTTTGGCAGTTATCTAGAGATAATAGTTGCTTCTATAAAAGACTCAGTAATTCACACTGTACCTTCTGACAATTGGAAAGGCTCTCCGATGCAAAATATGAGTGATAAGGATTCACAGCATGAATTAGTCCAATCAGCATACAATTATCCGAGCAATGGCATTCCATGGTGGAATTCATGTGGACCACATATTTTGTTGTATCCAACCACCGCTAACTTATATGCCAGCATGAACACTCCGGTATCCAATCAGATAAAACAAGTTGAAAATCAGATGTTGGAGCAAGAATCATCATCTACACAGTCCAGTGGGAGTTCCCATGGTGAATTGTCAAAAGAGAGTGATGATAGCCCCAATGAATGGTGTCTGTCAGGACAATCTGGTTCAATTCAAGATAAGATAAATGACAAAGGTAACTTTCATCTTCTTCCATTGTTCGCTCTTTTAAGAAATAGCACTCTCATTTATTTTCGATTCTGATTTTTTCAAGGGTTTGAAATAAATGTTGTTGCGCTAGATTTGTTAGACAATTATACTAATTTAATTATTTCTTCCTTTCTTATCTTGTTGTACGTTAATTTTGCAACAGATTGCTAATGGTTCTTTGTTTTCAGGATGAAGGAAGTTAGGAATGTAATTCATTGTGAGTGTTGTAAACTTTTTAAAGCATGATTAGTGCATTGCATTTTTATCAAATTGTCTCAAGAATTTGAGTTGCTTATACACCTTGCATGGGGGCGTCATGCATATTATTTTGGCTTTTTTGGGTTTCATTGCACGTTTGCCATTGGTTAAGAATCTTGAAAGATTTAGTTGCTGTTTGGCCTCTTGTATTTAGAATTCAGGTCATTCTGAATACAATGTAAAGTAAATTCATTATATTAGAAATACTTCATGGTTTTTGGTTGTTATTAAAACAAATTCAATTGATTATAATCTGGTAAGCCAAGATACTATTGACTACATTCATGTGATGTTCATATAGATTTTGCATGATTTTACTTACACCATTAGCCACATATCACAACTTAGATCTATTACGATAAATAAATCAACCTTAACACTAGTCTCCGATATTTCTCTTTGATTGTTGGAATCTGATCAGGATAGATTGTTAGAAATTGATTTACCTTAATGGGAGTATAGATTGGTTCACAAGCACAGTTTTCAGTTTCAACCGATATATCTATTGTATAGGTCTATTGAGAGAGAAGCAATCCTTTCTTTGACCATGACAGTTCAATGCCCAGGAAGCCTTTAGAGTTCCCAAATTATTGTTTTCATTGTTCCTTAGCCAAATAGTTCTAATAGCTCTTTCTCACATTCTCACTAGAGTTATTACCTGTATTAATCATGTCATTGACATAAATAATAGGTAGAGTAATATCATCACTATTTTTTTATAGAATAGTGTGATCTGCTAAAGCGTTCTTAAAATCAGATTTCTTTATGAAGTAGCTTAACCTGCCAAAATCATGCCATTGGCAACTGTTGTAGCACATACTGGGCATTCTTCAGCTTGCATACTCTATACCTAATATATACTGGGCATTCTTCAGCTTGCATACTCTATACCTCTTTTTGGTATAAATTCTGTTTGAGGATCCATATACACATATTACAACAGATTATTATGCAGGAATATATATTCTTCACATCAAATTGTCTTAATGATCAATCTAGATTAATTGGAATAGAGAGTATGAATCTTACATTATTCATTTGTGACGTATAAGGAAAGGTCTTATGATAGTCAATTTCATATGTTGGATCCCTTGTTCCCGTCAATAGTTGTATTAAACTTGTATTTCATCCAAAAAATCCACTTTCATCCAAATGCCTTTTTTTACGGTGGCAATTCAACTTTCTTCCGAATAGAGTTCTTATTGGAGAGCTTCATTGACTATAGCAAACTTTCACTTAGGATCTTCGAAGGTTTCCTAAAAATGACTATGAATATGCTCTTAAGACTATTGAAGGAAAATTTTTGGCTGAGTCTTGGACATATGATGGTGAGATACAAAATAAGATCTTGAATAAACAACATTAGAAGATGATTTGGAGAAATTTAATTTATTGTGCTCTTTTCGATTAAGAAGAGGGCATCTCCTACCATCATGTGGCTTTCAAGATTACAAGATCAATTGTTTGAGTTGAGATTTTAGGCAAAGAAATATACACGTTAGGGTTAATCTCAAAAGAGTCATATTATCATCAAGAGGGGTATTGGAGTTTGGAGGGGCATCATATTATCATACTTTTTTCTCCTTACGTAGTATTTTTTAACATATCTTTCACCCCCTCTCACTTCTTTCTTAAATATTAGATTCAACAACAATAAGTGTTCAAGCTCTTCCCTTTTTTTCTAAATTATATGAACCCCTTGCCTAAAATCGAAAACAATTAAAATGGTTCATTTTCCTTTATTAATCTTTTCCTCTAAAGAGGAGTAAAAAAAAAAAAATCTCCTGAAAAATAAGGCTCATATTCATAAAAGTGAACAATCGTGGACATAAGATTTTCATGCAAGAGGATGAGTTTATTATAGCGCTTTTAAGAATTTCAATTAGCAAGGGAGACACATGTACAACCAAATACCTTAGGGCAAAGATCTAAGACATAATGAATGGTATGAAATTTTTGCAAAATCCTCAATGGTGTTTGATAGTAGATGGTGTGAGCATGCATTCAATTTGTAAAGAAGACAATGATCATGGTAACTGCTATTATATGATCATGGTAACTGCATTCAATTTGTAAAGAAGACAATGATCATGGTGTTTGATAGTAGATGGTGTGAGCATGCATTCAAGATATATATGTACACATGCTATTAATTAAAATCAAAATTTATTTTTATTTATACTTAAATTCATTTGCTCAATATTTCATCACTTTAAATCAAGCTGGAATCTTTACAATACAACTAATAATTTAATGTTATTTTTATTATTTTTTAATATCCTATTTAATATTAAGAGTTTTTAACTAGTTTAGTAGTACTATCATATATGCGAGTGCACACTGACTCACACTACATACTAAACATTACACATAGATATACACATTACATACCACATACATATGTATACTGACGGCTGCTTAGGCACAAGTTGACAAAAATAAATCAGATTCAAAGACATGCAAATCTCTCACTATAATAAGCTAATACCAAATCTTTGAGGCATATTTTATTTTAATTGTTTGGATTCGAGTGTTAGACATTTGCATCTAACATTTACTTTAGATGCAAAGACAATATAACTCGACTAAGTGATTAAAGTTGTTGGTGGCATATTTTAATATTATTACTTATGGGAAAATTCTATAAGATAGTGGTGGGACCTACAATGTTTTATGACGTAGAATGTTGGTCGTTAAAAGATAAGCATAAAATTAAGTATTACAAAGATGAGGATGCTCAGGTGGATGAGTGGCTTCATTCATTGGGATAGAATGAGAAGCAACTAAAGCAAGTATATACGTGAAAAGGTTGGAGCAACTCCAATGGCAAATAAAGTTAGAGAGAGTCGTCTTAGATGGTTTGGTCACATAAAACGTCGGCCTTCCGATGACCCGGTTAAGTACATGTATTAGATTTGGTATATACTCTATATTAAGAAAGGTAGAGGCAGACTTAAAAAGACTTAGTTAGAAAGTATTAGAAATGACAATTTTTATTAGATATAAATGAGAATCTGACTCTTAACAGGACACAATGAAAAAAAAAAAAGATTCATGTAGCCAACCCCACGTAGTGGGATAAATGCTTGATGTAGTGGGATAAATGCTTGATGCTGTTGTTATTGTTGTTGTACTTATTATATAAACCCACACACCTTGAATGCATGTACTAATAAGCTAACATTAAATCTTTTGACGCATTAAAGTGTCTTATGATATTCCTAATGGGGCTATTTTGCATTGCAAATATGAGCTAGAGTGATGTGAAACGTAAATGCCATATAAGGTGTGTGGGTTTATGCTGTTGTTATTGCCTAGGTGGCAAGATTAATTAAAGCCCAAATTAATTTGGGGAGAGAGAATGGAAATATGAAATTAAGGAGTAATTAAAGCTAATTCAAATTCAAATTTTAAATTTGAATTGTCATTAATTGGGAGGATTAAATGATTAATTGATTTAAATCTGAAATTAAATTTCAGATTTAAATTAATGGCTATTGGCTTAATTGGAGGGACGAATTTAAGGAGTAATTAATGCTAATTCAAATTCAAATTTTGACTTTGAATTGTAGCCTCTCCTAATTAAGAAATTTCTTTATTCCAAGGAGGAAAAGAGGGGGAGGTGGGGGTTGGTGGGCGTCGGCCCAAGGGATGGCCGGCGGGTGAATTTCTGGACGGGCCAACAGGGCCGGCGGCAAGGAGAACTTGGGGAGGAAAAGCCCGAGCTTGGTAGAGGATGAGAAGTTTGGGGAAATCTAGGAATTTCTAACCTCACGCTCTTAAACTTCAAGATCTCAAAGGAGATTGTAGGGATGTCGGAACTCACACAGAGATCCACGAAACTCTCCTCAAGAACTCACAAAGAGATCTTGAGAATCTCGGAACTCACAAAGAGATCTTGAGAATCTCGGAACTCACAAAGAGATCCGCGAAACTCTCCTCAAGAACTCACAAAGAGATCTTGAGAATCTC